TATCATAATATCAATCATCAAACATAATAATACAATGTACATTTTGGAACATAGAAAGGTTAAACATAATAATAATTGCGATATTTTTGTCAAAATAATATATTTTTTTTATTTTCAGGAAATTTTTTGTCAAAATAATAGATAGTAATAACAATAATAATAGTTGCAATATTGAATCAATAGCCTTGTATATTGCCAAAAAAAAAAAATTTAAAAAATGATTATTTCTTTAAAAGAAAAAATAAAAATAAATTAAAAACAACTTTTAACTAGAGGTGAACATTGGGCGGGCCATGCCGAATTCAGATTGGGCTTGGGCATTAAGAAAACCCATCGAATTGGGCCGATTCGGGCAAAAATTCTTGCTCAAATCCGCAAATTTTTAATGGACCTAGCGGACTTTTCGGGCCATCTTGAGCCAGGAAAAAACAACTAAAAAGTGTAAAAATACATGTTCAAGGCCCGCCCCAAAAAAAATTATTTTTGGGCTAAGCCCGGCCCAAATTTAATTTTGGGTTGAGCCCAACCCAATTTCAGTGTGTAATTTTATTCCAATAGCCTGCCCAAAATGGATCAGGCCTACTCTACTTTAAATCTATTAAAAAATTAATAATGATGCTATTCATTTCTATTTACACGAGAATATTTTTTATGAGAGTGTGACACGTGTGTACAACAGTTGCATCAACAATGGCTTGTTTTAGTTATAACTACATGCACTAGATTATGAAATAAAGTTAGTGATTAACCTGGTTACGTTATATTATTAGGATATAAAATATGAATTTTTGAAAATAAAAAAGTAAGGAATTTATTTTTTGACAAGATAAAAGTAAATAATAAAACACCTAAAAATATAGAAAAGTTGACATAAAATATAAGTAGTTTCTAAATTTAAAGTACAATTAAATTTCTTTTCTTTTCTTTTCTTTTCTTTTGGAAAACCCCCCTTTACTTTTATTTTTATTAACGTGTATAAGATTGTCTTATATTATGTGTAACACCGATTATAAACATCTTAACTACGAAGTATTTACCAAATTTAATTAAGATTTATTTTTATTTTTATCTTTTTTTTTTATTTTTTTTTTTGGTACTTGTTTTCATAAACTAACTTTTTCTTGTGTTTAGATTTAGGGCCTGTTTACATTTACTTAATTTCAGTTCAGTTCAATTTAGCTCCTAATTTCCCTCTCTCATAAAATATTCAATTCAGCTCAGTTCAGTTCAGCTCCAATCAGTTCAATTCATCTCATTTCCAATCAGTTTAGTTCAGTTCAGTTCAGTTCACTTCAGTAAATGTGAATAGGTTCATCGTCATATAGTTATTTTTTATTTAATTAATTAATTTTATTTCCATAAGATCGTCTTATCTAAGTAAGTTTTTGTGTAAACATCCATATAGAAAAGAGACTACAACATAAGAGAATAATTATACAAAAATTCTAAAATTAAGTCGTATTTAATATCACGATCATATTACAATATCGATCAAATCATGATAATCATCTCAATTATCCCTCGAATAAACATGAAAACTGTTGACCCTTATGAGGTTTAGATGATGATGTTAAGAATTGAGCAAACTTCCATCTAATAAGGATTTTCTAGTGTTGTGTTGTTTGCAGGTTTAGTAAGCTCTGGGAGTTGAAGTATGAACGGAAACAAAGGAACTTTAGAAGATCCATGGGAACAAGTAAAGATAGCTAGAAGAAGAGTTCCAGAAATGGAACTTCCCGAAGTTTCTTAATAAGAACTTCACAACGGGTTGTAACGACCGTATTCTGGTGTAATGCTGGGCCAAACCTCAACGACCAAGGATCAGTGCAAAGCTCGAGATATCAACTAAAAAAGATGGACTTCATAACTTATAGTTGTAAAAAAGATAAGTTTTTTTTATAGGTTGATGTAAGCATGTAATTGGTTGTTATGCATGGAACTTATTAGAAATCAGTAGAGCTTGGCAAGCTCATCAATTCGTAAAAGATAATTACAATTTTATGAAAAAGTATTTATTTGGATTTATCTTCTAAAATCTGGTTTAGCTTGGTTTTATTTTTTTCATAAAATTCTATCTTTTAACTAAAACGAATTGATAAAATTGGTTTTCAAATAAAGAAAAATTAAATCTGTTTTGATTTCGGTTTTAAAGTGATAAGATTAGATTTTTGTCTAAGATTATCATATTTGCGAAAACACTACTTTGTGAACTGAGAAGCTTCTATAAATATAAAAGTAATTCAATGAAACAAAATGAGAGTTTTCAGCGTGAAAACCACTTAGTGCTTAAGAGTAAGTTTGCTAAAGATTTAAGCTTTATCATTTGATTTCGGGTTTCATGTGTAGCTTTCCATTTACGTGTTAGAGTGAGTCTTTGTGTTGTAATTGCTTTTGGGGTGAGATTGTGAATTCTCTACAAATTCACGTTAGAGTGTATGAGTTTGAATTCTCTAAAATTCAAGTGGTAGCTGTGAGTGCACAGTGAGTGAAAGGAACCTGAGAGGTGTCTTTGGTCACCTAGGAAGTGTCCTGGGTTAAAGGGGAAAAGGTACCTAGGAAGTGTCTTAGGTTTGATAGGAGGTGTCCTATCAATCAAGTGGCAAGTGTGAGTGGTGGAACTTGCAAAGCAAAGGTCTGTGTAATTGGTTGTACTAGGAGAGTTGCCTATTATAGTGGAATTTGTTTATAAGTCCCAATAGAGCCGAGGTTTTACATCCAGCTAGGCACTAGATGGTTTCCTCGTAAAACTTGTTGTGTTCTTTAAGTTCCTTTTATGTTTTGTTTTTAATTTCCGCATAAGTTTCACGATTGGAACCTACTACTATTCACCCCCCCATATCATAGTAGTTCATTTAAACTAACAATAATAAATCATGATAATCATCTCAACTTTCCCTCGAATAAACATGATAACAAATCGGGCATTTCCAGTCACCGGTCGGCAACCACTTTTCAATGCAATATAATGAGAGTGGAAGGCGTGCTTGCATGTTGGGAGACTTCGTAATAACTCTCTATCCTCAAAATCGGAAATACATATTGGACAATTAGGATTTACAAATAACTTTTGTCTATCATCTGTTAGGTATATATGTAATGGAAATAAATGTCCTATCAAATAATTTACGTGGGAGATAAACTCCCGTGTAATACATTAACCACCGAAGAAAAATAACTATTAAAATTGCAACAACTACAAATACACAGAACAAAATTATTGACTGTAAATCCTCTTGTTCAATTGTATATCCCTCGCAAAGGGGCACCCGGGCAACATATAAATTGTCGCTATAAGCCACCAGAATATGTAATATAAAGTAGCGTAATTGTAATTACAATTTTGCTGGATAACGATATCATTAAGAGCTGAAATCGCCTATTTAGGGGTTGATTATGGAAAATGGTAGCAATCCCTTGAATTAATCAGTTTTAGGGGTAATAATTAAAAACTTTTTTTTAGGGGTAGTAATTTACAAAGCCTCTGTTTTTAAGGTAGTAATTAACAAAATTTTCATATAGTCCCAACCGATTAATAACCTTTTATTAGAGGTTACAAAGACACGTAACAATATGTGTTGGTCGAAATAAAAACTTTAAAAAAATTGGGAAAAAAACACACCCATCCTCCACGCTATCCATCCAAATTCCACCCACGCCTTACCCCCTGCCACCGATGACCTGACCCCTATCCATTGGTCGCCGGGGCCAGCCATACTCCTTTCCCTATCCATTGTAATGTTCCACTAGACCACTACACGTAACCCCTCCTTTCCTTTCGAAAATTAAAACCCCTTATAACTCCTCCCTGACTGTCGGCTAAGATTTCTGTGGTGGGGGGAGGCCACGTTTGGCTGTGTACTTTCGGTGGTTACAACGGAGTTATAAGGGGTTTTAATTTTTGAGAGGAGGGGTTACGATTGTCTCAGGGTGGCAAGGGCCAATCAGTCGTTTTTGGGGGTTTAGGAGGAGGTCATCGGTTTCCAATGGGGTTAGTGGGTGTGATAGGATTTCACATTGGAGCAATCACTTACTGATGACACGTGACCTTTAATTTTTTTTTTATTTATTTATTTTTTGTTTAAAAAAGAACCATTTCAGTACGTTACCGGTCATTGGGACTACTAGTGTTATACCTCTCATGTGATTGCTTTAAAAGGATTTGATATATACTACCTGTATCAACAAGGCACGTCTTTCTTTTAAAAAGCTCACATGTTTAGATACTTTCCAGTTAAGCGTGCTTAGCTGAGAGTAGTCTTGAGATGGGTGACCTCTTGGCTTGGGAAGTTTTCCCAAAGTGCGTATGAGTAAACACAAAATGTGCCGGATGGATAGTACTCCGTATTTAGATATGGTAACAATTAAGATAAAAAGTACAGTAACACAAAAGAATTGATGATTGAATTGCAATAACCACCCTTTAGTATTAGAGCTATCAAAAGCTGACCCGACCCGAACCCGATTATTAACCGACCCGAGTTGACCTGACCCATACCGACCCAATTACCAGAATTGACAGCTCTATTTAGTACTACTACTTAAATATGGTAACAATTATAATTAAATGTAGTATTTAATGTATTGATTTTTCTTTACCAACATTAATTGTATTTAATGCTATATATATATATATATATATATATATATATATATATATATATATATATATATATATATATATATATATATATATATATATTATATTAATCAATATTTTCCATATCTGTAATGATTTGTTTGGATAGAATATCTCTTGTAAAATTTAATGATAGGCCAGGTGTCAAAAATTAAATAATTTTTTTCAATTATTTAGCCTTCTCTTATGAGTATAAATTTCGTGACAGACATGGCTTGCATAATGTCATATTCTTAAGAGTTGCATTCGATTGAAGTTAAATTAAAGGTTTGGATGTATAATATAACAATAATAATTTTACGTAAAATAGTGTTTTAGTTTATTGATTGATTTTATGAAAACTTAATTTGCAGAGCAATGGATGTGAAAATTCTAGCATGCTCGGTAGCTTTGTTGTTAATTCTAATTGACCATGGAGCAAAAGGTCATCATTTGACTAGAGAAGAGCTTGATTATGAGAAACAATTTGAGCTCCTCCAGAAATCAAGTGTTAAAACAATCAAGGTATGTTGTTTATTTTAATTAGTTCTTGTAGGATATATGATATATTACGAATCACATCCTCAATTTGGTGATTTTTAAATGATTTAATATTTGTTACAAATTGTTCTGACTGACTGTTGATTACTGGCTTACTGCACAATTTTATTATTGGATGATTTTGTTAACAATTATTTTCTATCCACTGTTATATGACAAATCCCGTTTAAATTTCCATATATAAACCTCACATCTGATGTTTTCAATCTAATTACGTTAATTACATTTGACCTATTATCCCATTTAAAACAACTAAAAGACCAGAAGCAAGTTTTGTTAATCTAGACCCTGAATCAAAGCTACACAAAAATTTTAAATCTTAAAAAAACTGTAAATTGTAAAAAAGATGAAGAGGTTTGTGATTAAAAGTTTTCAAATTACATTCCTATTTATTAGGGGTGTCAATCAGGTAAACGATACGGCTTTGAGTTTGATTTATCGATTTTCAGTTATAAAGGGTTGAAACAATTAGCGGGTTGATTTGGGTCAGTTTTAAAAGTTGTTGAGTCGGTTCGGGTTGGGTTTTTTTTTGGTTTTTATTTGGGTCGGGTGCTTATCAGTTCGAGTTGAACACAGTCGGTTTGAAAATGACATTTGCAAGTTTTGGGTCAAAAACATATAAGCTCCTTATCGAATCGAGTTGTAATCACTTTGGGTCATAATTGGTTTGGGTGAAACTTGGTCAGTTTGAAAACGAGTTTTGCAAGTTCAAAGTGATTCGAGACAAAATAAATTGGGTCTTATTCAGGTTGGGTTGGAATCAAATTGGGTCTTAATCTATTTGTATTGAGCCCCTAGGTCTGTTTGAAAATCGGGTTTTGGTTAAAAACAAATTTGATAAAATCAACACGGGTTATAATTGATTTAGTTTGAAGTAAGCGAGTCAGTTTGAAAACGGGTTATGGATCAAAACATATCGAGTGAAATCGGGTCGGGATATTATCAGTTCAGGTCATAGCCGATTTCAATTGAACTAGGTCGATTTGAATATGAGTTAACCAGTATAAAACAAGTTTTGGTTCAAATCATATAGAGTTAAAATTAGATAATTATTGAGTATGATTAAGTAGATAATGAGAAGGAATGGGTCAAGAAATAATTGATTAAGTCTTACAGAAGTTACTTTTATCGAGTAGCGAGTTGAAACGAGTCATATCAAAATCGAGACGAGTTTTAAACAAGAGAAAAATTAAGAGTCGTGTCTTAAATAGATATAATTAATCGTGTTTCAAGTAGGAATGGATGTGTTCAAAATCGAGTCACGACTCAGGTAAGTTGGGTGATCAAGTAAGAAATTAGAACGAGTCGGGTTGTAATTGATCTAATCATAAACACGTCACACTACTAGAAAATAGGCAAATAACGACGGAAATTTTTCGTCGGTACTGGTTGTCGGAAAACTTTTTGTAGGAAAATGGGCCTTTTCCGATGGAATTTCCATCGGAACCACTATATCGACGGAATTCAGTTCGCCGAAAGTTAATTTTACCTATTCATTTGCCATATGAGGGCAAGTTATGTGGTCCTGTTCAATATAGATGGATGTATCCCTTCGAAAGGTAAATCAAAGTCCCCTTCACCTCCTCTTTCATACAAAACCTTCATAGTCATGACCTATTTACACAATTATTTATACTAGTTTAATTGCAGGTTCCTTAATCACTTGAAACGTAAAATTGGGAACAAGGCTCGAGTTGAAAGTTCCATATGTAATGCTTATCTCACCGAAAAGATAGCAAACTTTTGCTCAAATTACTTTCAGGCGTCAGTTGACACAAAAACTCGGGGTCTCGGTCGAAATGTAAATGTAGACCTGGAATCCACAGTGGACAACGCTGACTTACCAGAGTTGTTCTCGGTGGATACCGGTCGTGTCTCAACTGAGGGTAAAACTCGGTATTTAGATGAAAAAGAACTTGAGTGTGCTCATTTGTTCGTTTTATGAAACTGCGGCATTCTTGGTGAATATGAAAGGTATACGTGTTAAGGAATGAATTTTATTCATAGTTCTGAAGAATTAAAATTGTTGAATTACTAATTTCTCTTGTATCATTGACCTAATAGGAAGTTTGAGGACTACGTTCTTAGTTCCCGACCGTTTTTGCATAGAGAAGAAGTTATGGAGAAATGTGACACCGAATTCTCTGATTGGTTTCACCATAAGGTGATAGAAATGTTCTAGGTCTTTAAATATGTTTTTTAGATCTTGCAATTCACTTTAATTAATTATTGAATTGTGACGTAAATAGGTGGTTAAAGAGAAACCAAATTCAGATGTCCTGCAAGCATTGTGCATGCGTCCTTTCAAGCGTGTTCGAACTTGGAGGCAGATTTTTGTTGGTGAATTTAATTTCCATACACATTCCCATGACAAACACAAGTCTACGATGAATTATGGTGTGTGTGTTTCTAGTGAGGACGGTGGAGAGTACCTTGGCATTCTAGACGATATAATTGAACTTGTCTACACTGATCCAAAAAAGAGCACAAGACTATTTTGTTTAAGTGTAGTTGGATGGATTGTGGTAGGGGTATGAACATACATGAACAATACAAGCTAGTCAAAGTGAATCATACTAAGAATTACCCCAAGTATGATCCCTTCGCATTATCTTATCAAGTGAGCCAAGTGTACTACACATCCTACCCAAGCCTAAAAAGGGATCGAGTTCAATGGTGGGCTGTGTTTAAAACACAAGCAAGGTTAGTGGTTGATGCTCCAGTGGACCTTGATTTTATGCAGGCACCGTCCCCACAAGTCCATGCAACGCTTTGTCCACCGAATGACATTCCTGACTATGACCTAGTTGAGGATGACGACGAAGATGATGATGGCGGCTTAATAATCTCAAGCAATGAAGATGATGAATCAAGCGTCGACTCTAGTGATAGTGACGAGGATGATGAGATCGATGTGGTTTTAGATGATAGTAGTGATGATACCAGTAGTGATAGTAGCGATGAAAGTCACGACTAGGAGATCGAATTAGCTTGTTATTGTAAAATGAAAAGTTAAATTTGCTTGTAGTTGTGTAATTGTCGGTTGAATTTGATTGTCATTGTAAAATCAATTAAAGAGTTTGTCGTTTTATTGTTAATCTTGTTATATCTCATTATACTTGTAATTTTTATAATGTTAATAATATCATGGAATGTGATTAACATCTTTTTCAGGTGGAAATGGTGGGAGGGAAAAAAGGAGAAACATCAAAGAAAAATAAGGAAAAGGAGAAAAGGAAAGTTCTCATTTATGAGGACGACGAGGAAATGGTGGACGCGGAGGACGCGGAAGAGGTGACAATGAGGATCCTCAAACACAAATGCAGATACAATATCATGAGCAACAACTTCAGGGGAAACAAGCCTCACAGTCTTCTAAGTTGGTGGTATTAGACCCTGGAACTTGATGGTATGTATGTAGTTGTAATTTCATTCCCTTTCTACCCATATTTCCTATCACTGACCTATGTATTACTCTAACATGAACTATTTATTTATTATTTGTTCATGATGCACATTAAAATAGGTTTGACGATAAAACTGCGAGAAACGTCGTCTCTAGCACCCTAACAGGCCACTATCGATCTGCTTGGAGGAATTACGGAGAGGTTGATCAGGGGACGAAGGATTATCGGTGGAACTTGTTTTGCGTATGACATTTTATACTTATAACTATGTATTACTAAATTTATTGATGGAGTTGTGTTTGATAATTTTAAATGTTTGTCATATGCAGAAACAATGCACATGGGCACCTGAGTTAAACGACCATGTGAAGCGAACCTTCGAAGTCAAGTTCGCAGATCAGATGAGGGACATGTTTCACGCAGTCGCACACAGGATGAACGGTAAGAAGCTGAAATGGATGATCGAGGAAGTCCACAAGGATATGATGGACGTTTTGGCCAATAATGATACGTACTAGAAGAGGTCCAAACAAAACAAGAAGAACAGAAGAGGCGGATCGATAGACAATGTGGTTGAGCCAACCCATTACCAGGGTTCAATTTAATTTGTACAGCATGCTAAAAGGATGGTGAGTTTGTTTTTTAGGCAATTGAAAAAGATAACAATTATGATTACATTGAAATGATAAGCCTAATTTGGTTCGGTGCATGTACGTTCAAAGGCAGCGAAAACAACAACCACTTACCAACTACACATGATCTTTTCATGAAGACACACTTCAAGGAGATCCCTGGGAAAGGAAAGGTGCCAGCAAATGTCAAAGTCAAGAACATTGCGGTAACAACTTTAATATAAATTAGTATTTAAACTTATTAATTCGGCTTGAAATGGCTTCATTTTAAGGATATGGACCCTTAAACTTAGTAAATTTACTTTTTTTACGTGATTTAAAGTCATAATCTCTTATAACTATGTAAATATGTAATGGTTTAAGAAATAATGAGTCCAAAAGTTAAGAAATAAAGAAAATAGGCATGTAAGAAGGCATTATGGCTTGAAATGGCTTCATTTTGGGAATATGGACCCTTAATCTTAGTAAATTTGCTTATTTTATGTGATTTCAAGTCATAAACTCTTATAACTATGTAAATATAGTATGGTTTGAAAAATAATGAGTTAAAAAGTTGAGAAGTAAAGAAAATAGGCATGTAAGAATCCATTTTGGGTTAAATTGGCTTCATTTTGAGGATATGGACCCTTAAACTTAGAAATTTGCTTCTTTTATGTGATTTCAAGTCCTAAACTCTTATAAATATGTAAATATGTGATGGTTTGAGAAAGAATGAGTCCAAAATTTAAGAAATATAGAAAATAGGCATGTAAGAACCCATTTTGGCTTGAAATGGCTTCATTTTGAGGATATGGACCCTTAAACTTAGAAATTTGCTTCTTTTATGTGATTTCAAGTCATAAACTCTAATAACTATGTAAATATGTGATGGTTTGAGAAGTAATGAGTCCAAAAGTTAAGAAATAAAGAAAATAGGCATGTAAGAAGGCATTATGGTTTGAAATGGCTTCATTTTGAGAATATAAACCCTTAATCTTAGTAAATTTGCTTCTTTTATGTGATTTCAAGTCATAAATCTTATAAATATGTAAATATGGTATGTTTTGATAAAGGATGAGTCCAAAAGTTAAGAAATATAGAAAATAGGCATGTAAGAACCCATTTTGGCTTGAAATGACTTCATTTTAAGGATATGGAACTATAAACTTTAAAATTTGCTTCTTGTATGTGATTTCAAGTTAGAAACTCTTATAACTATGTAAATATGTGATTGTTTGAGAAAGAATGAGTCCAAAAGTTAAGAAATATAGAAAATAGGCATGTAAGAACCCATTTTGGCTTGAAATGGCTTCGTTTTGAGGATGTGGACCCTTAAACTTAGAAATTTGCTTCTTTTATGTGATTTCAAGTCATAAACTCTTATAAATATGTAAATATGTGATGTTTTGATAAAGAATGAGTCCAAAAGTTAGGAAATATAGAAAATAGGCATGTAAGAACCCATTTTGGTTTGAAATGGCTTCATTTTGAGGATATGGACCCTTAAACTTAGAAATTTGCTTCTTTTATGTGATATCAAGTCATAAAATCTTATAAATATGTAAATATGTGATGGTTTGAGACATAATGAGTCCAAAAGTTATGAAATATAGAAAATAGGCATGTAAGAACCCATTTTGGCTTGAAATGACTTCATTTTGAGGATATGGACCCTTAAACAAAGAAATTTGCTTGTTTTATGTGATTTCAAGTCATAAACTCTTATAACTATGTAAATATATGATTTTTTGAGAAATAATGAGTCAAAAAGTTAAGAAATAAAAAAAATAGGCATGTAAGAAGGTATTATGGCTTGAAATGGCTTCATTTTGAGGATATGGACCCTTAAGCTTAGAAATTTGCTTCTTTTATGTGATTTCATGTCATAACTCTTATAACTATGTAAATATAGGATGGTTTGAGAAAGAATGAGTCCAAAAGTTAAAAATAAAGAAAATAGGCATGTAAGAAGGAATTATGGCTTGAAATGGCTTCATTTTGAGGATGTGGACCCTTAAACTTAGAAATTTGCTTCTTTTATGTGATTTCAAGTCATAAAATATTATAACTATGTAAATAAGGGATGGTTTGAGAAAGAATGTGTCCAAAAGTTAAGAAACATAGAATATAGGCATGTAAGAACCCATTTTGGCTTGAAATGACTTCATTTTGAGGATATGGAACTATAAACTTTAAAATTTGATTCTTTTACGTGATTTCAAATCATAAACTCTTATAAATATGTAAATTTTTGAGGGTTTGAGAAAAAAAGAGTCCAAAAGTTAAGAAATAAATAAAATAGGCATGTAAGAAGGCATTTTGATTTGAAATGGCTTCATTTTGAGGATATGGACCCTTAAACTTAGAATTTTGTTTCTTTTATGTGATTTTAAGTCATAAACTCTTATAAATATGTAAATATGGGATGGTTTGATAAAGAATGAGTCCAAAAGTTAAGAAATGTAGAAAATAGGCATGTAAGAACCCATTTTGACTTGAAATGATTTCATTTTGAGGATATGGACCCATAAACTTAGAAATTTGCTTCTTGTATGTGATTTCAAGTTATAAAATCTTATAAATATGTAAATATGTGATGGTTTGAGAATTAATGAGTCCAAAAGTTAAGAAATATAGAAAATAGGCATGTAAGAACCCATTTTGGCTTGAAATGGCTTCATTTTGAGGATGTGGACCCTTAAACTTAGAAATTTGCTTCTTTTATGTGATTTCAAGTCATAAAATCTTATAAATATGTAAATATGTGATGGTTTGATAAAGAATGAGTCCAAAAGTTAGGAAATATAGAAAATAGGCATGTAAGTACCCATTTTGGCTTGAAATGGCTTCATTTTGAGGATATGGACCCTTAAACTTAGAAATTTGCTTATTTTATATGTTTTCAAGTCATAAAATCTTGTAACTATGTAAATATGTGATGGTTTGAGAAAGAATGAGTCCAAAAGCTAAGAAATATAGAAAATAGGCATGTAAGAACCCGTTTTGGTTTGAAATAGCTTCATTTTGAGGATATGGACCCTTAAACTTATAAATTTGCTTTTTTTATGTGATATCAAGTCATAAACTCTTATAAATATGTAAATATGTAAATATGTGATGGTTTGAGAAAGAATGAGTCCAAAAGTTAAGAAATATAGAAAATAGGTATATAAGAACCCATTTTGGCTTGAAATGGCTTCATTTTGAGTATATGGACCCTTAAACATAGAAATTTGCTTCTTTTATGTGATTTCAAGTCATAAAATCTTATAACTTTGTAAATATGTGATGTTTTGAGAAAGAATGAGTCCAAAAGTTAAGAAATAAAGAAAATAGGCATGTAAGAAGGCATTATGGCTTGAAATGGCTTCATTTTGAGGATATGGACCCTTAAACTTAGAAATTTGCTTCTTTTATGTGATTTCAAGTCATAAATTATTATAACTATGTAAATATGGGATGGTTTGAGAAAGAATGAGTCCAAAAGTTAAGAAATATAGAAAATAGGCATGTAAGAACCCATTTTGACTTGAAATGACTTCATTTTGAGGATATGGACCCATAAACTTAGAAATTTTCTTCTTTTACGTGATTTCAAGTCATCACTTATATGTTTATTTGCTTTACTTGTAACTTATGTTGTTGGTTAATTGTTTAAACTATATATTATTGTATAATGTCTTTCTTGTAGGAGAACTACAAGAAGAATGTTGAAGAAGCCACCACTCAAGGGATTAAAAAGAGTCCTAACAAGTTATATTGGGAGAGTGTGGGTGGTCGCAACAAGAAGAGTCGAGTGAGGGGAGTTGGCCAAAGTGCAGAGCTGTACTATGGCAACCGGACGGGTCGAGGTTCTAGGTCTTCACAACAGTACACACCGTCCGTTGTTTCTCAGATGCAGGAGCAGATGGACCATAGGGTGGAGGCTCTTCGTAGTGAGATCCGCAATGAACTCCAGAGTGAAATACAGAGTGAACTTCGGAGTGAAATGGAAGTTGAGATGCAAGCTCAAATTCAAGCTGAAGTGGCCCAAATGGAGAGGAGAGCCGAGGAGAGGTGGAATGACTTCATGAGACGATTCGGCAACAGCGACACATGTTCCACCATTCAGCCTCAGCGTCGAGACCCTAGGGATGACCCGGGTAGTGGAGGAGCAAGCCAGGGTAACCCTGCATTTTTTTAGCCTAGCTTAGGTTTATGTAGTACGAACAAGTAGTTAATTAGAATTTATGTAACGTTTGATTATTTTCCCGCTTTTGTAGAATTACTATATATTATGTAGCTTTTGGATAGGTTTAACTTAAGCATAGCTTTTGTGGAAATATATATATTTATATTTCCGAAATTGGATTATGATTTTAATTTTCACAGGTATTAGGTGCAGGAATATAGGTTATTAATGCTGAACAACTAGAATTTTGGCTTTGTGAATTACATTCTGCGACGGAAATAATTAATATTAAGTTTGTCGGAATTGATTTGCGACGGAAAAAGGAAGAACAATCTGTCGCTGGAAGAATCACTAACGACGGAAAATTCCCTCTCAAAAGTTTTGAAAGTTTGCGAGGGAATTTAATTCCGTCGGTGTATTGCGAGGGACTTTTCCGTCGCAAATAATCTTTTTGCAAGGGATTAATCCGTCGCAAACCTCCGACACCGTCGCAGATTCTCAACTTTTGCGAGGGAATTTTCCGTCGTTAGTGATTCTTCAGCGACGGAATTTTTTGTCGTAAAACTGCGACAGATTATACCTGAAAGTCAGATTTTGTTTCGACGGAAGATATTTCGTCGGTAATTCAGTCGTAAAACTGCGACGGATTATACCTGAAAGTCAGATTTTGTTTCGACGGAAGATATTCCGTCGTAAAAGGTCTTTCCGACGGAATTTTCCTCGGAAATTCTATTTTTTCCTACGAAAGATCGTTACGACGGAATTCCGTCGGAAATGCTGTTTGCGACGGAAATTGGCCTTTTTGCAAGGGAAATTTTTCGTCGGTAATTGACCTTTTTCTTGTAGTGGTACTAGAGCTGTCAAAAGCTGATCCAACTCGAAAAACCGACCCATATCCGATTATTAAACGACCCGAGTTGACCTGACCCACACTTACCCGACCCATTTACCTGAATTGACAGCTCTATTTAGTACTACTTAGATATGGTAACAATTATAATAAAATGTAGTATTTAATGTATTGATTTTTCTTTAACATTAATTGTATTTAATGCTATATATTTTATATTAATCAATATTTTCCATATCTGTAATGATTTGTTTGGATAGAATATCTCTTATAAAATTTAATGATAGACTAGGTGTCAAAAATTAATAATTTTTTCAATTATTTAGCCTTCTCTTATGAGTATAAATTTCGTGACAGACATGGCTTGCATAATGTCATATTCTTAAGAGTTGCATTCGATTGAAGTTAAATTAAAGGTTTGGATGTATAATATAACAATAATATTTTTACGTAAAATAGTGTTTTAGTTTATTGATTGATTTTATGAAAACTTAATTTGCAGAGCAATGGATGTGAAAAGTCTAGCATGGATGTGAAAACTTATTTTCTATCCACTGTTATATGACAAATCCCGTTTAAATTTCCATATATAAGCCTCACATCCGATGTTTTCAATCTAATTAAGTTAATTACATTTGACCTATTATCCCATTTAAAACAACTAAAAGACCAGAAGCAAGTGTTGTTAATCTAGAACCTGAATCAAAGCTACACCAAAATTTTAAATCTTAAAAAAACTGTAAATTGTAAAAAAGATGAAGAGGTTTGTGATTAAAAGTTTTCAAATTAAATTCCTATTTATTAGGGGTGTTAATCAGGTAAACGATACGGTTTTGAGTTTGATTTATCGATTTTCAGTTATAAAGGGTTGAAACAATTAGTGGGTTGATTTGGGTCAGTTTTAAAAGTTGTTGAGTCGGTTCGGGTTGGGTTTTTTTTTGGTTTTTATTTGGGTTGGGTGCTTATCAGTTCGAGTTGAACACAATCAGTTTGAAAATGACATTTGCAAGTTTTGGGTCAAAAACATATAAGGTCCTTATCGAATCGAGTTGTAATCACTTTGGGTCATAATTGGTTTGGGTGAAACTTGGTCAGTTTGAAAACGGGTTTTGCAAGTTCAAAGTGATTCGAGACAAAATAAATTGGGTCTTATTCAGGTTGGGTTGGAATCAAATTGGGTCGTAATCTATTTGTATTGAGCCCCTGGGTCTGTTTGAAAATCGGGTTTTGGTTAAAAACAAATTTGATAAAATCAACACGGGTTATAATTGATTTAGTTTGAAGTAAGCGAGTCAGTTTGAAAACGGGTTATGGATAAAAAAAGATCGAGTGAAATCGGGTCGGGATATTATCAGTTCAGGTCATAGCCAATTTCAATTGAACTAGGTCGATTTGAATATGAGTTAACCAGTATAAAACAAGTTTTGGTTCAAATCATATAGAATTAAAATTAGATAATTATTGAGTATGGTTAAGTAGATAATGAGAAGGAATGGGTCAAGAAATAATTGATTAAGTCTTACAGAAGTTACTTTTATCGAGTAGTGAGTTGAAACGGGTCATATCAAAATCGAGACGAGTTTTAAACAAGAGAAAAATTAAGAGTCAGTGTCTTAAATAGATATAATTAATTGTGTTTCAAGTAGGAATGGATGTGTTCAAAATCGAGTCACGACTCAGGTAAGTTGGGTGATCAAGTAAGAAATTAGAACGAGTCGGGTTGTAATTGATCTAATCATAAACACGTCACACTACTAGAAAACAGGCAAATAACGATGGAAATTTTTCGTCGAAACTGGTTGTCAGAAAACTTTTTGTAGGAAAATGGGCCTTTTCCGACGGAATTTCCATCGGAACCACTATTCCGACGGAATTCAGTTCGCCGAAAGTTATTTTCAGGCTCGAAATAGTCCGTCAGAAATGTATAACGGACTGTATTCCGCCGAAAATTTCCAATGGAAATTTCGTCGAAAAATGCTTTAAAAAAAACAAAAAAAAAAAATGCCTACCCCCACCAGCAGCCAGCACCCCACGACACCAGCCACCACCCCAGCCCACCTAACCCGTACCTTCACCCACTACCCAACACACCAAAACCTCCACCAGAACCCACCTAACCAAACCAGATCCCCCTAACCCTACACCCACAATACCATCCACCACCCAACCCACCTAAGCCGTACTACCACCAATACCAAACCAGAACCCACAAACCAAACCAGACCCCCTAACCCTAAACCACTACTAGAAAACAGACCACCATCAGCAAAACGACCACCACCACGAACGTCATCCACCATCGAACACAAAACCAGACCTACCTAACCCAAACAACCACCACCACCAAAAATCCCCACAACCCCTAACTTAAACGACCCACCACAACCGAAAATCCCCACAACCCAGATCCACCCATAATCCAAACCCTAACCCGGATCCACCGACTCAAACACTTACCAAAGCATCCAATAATTCTGACCACAAAAAGTCACAGTAAGTCGGCAGGGCTTTGGTTATAAACTCACGGTTAATAAAAGTCATAAAACAAGCTGTGTTGATTGAATAGTGGGTTAAATGAGATAGAAAAAATGGGGGATGTAGAAGGAGATAGAGAAAATTGGGGAAACAAGTTACAGGTTGTAAACGGTTCGGTCAAAATAGGTTACGAGTTGTAAATGTTTTAGTCACAACGAATTATTAGCTGTAAATGGCTCGGACATAATAGGTTAAGTTGTTAACGGGTTGGTGATATTATAAACGATTTGATCATAACACGTTACGTGTTATAAATGGTTAAATTGTAATGGGTACGAGTTTAAAATAGTTCGGTCATAACAAGTTACTGGTTGTAAACAATCTAATCACAACGAGGTACAGTCCAGGTTGCAATGGGTTTTTATCGAATTTAAACAGTTTCAGTTTAAAATGGGTCGGGTTACTATCGGGTTTGGACTCAATAAATTCCGGTTGTTCAATTCTCTGTTTTGGATTGTAATGGTTCGACTTGACAATGGGTACGTGTCATTAATTGTTTTCAAAAATTGAGTTCTATTCAGTTTGAGTTTTAAAAATATTGGGTGGAAATTTAGTTTTTCAAAAAACAAATTATTAGGTTATTACAAAATCCAGTTTGATTTTTCGTTTTTAGAAAACAAATTATTAGCATTTCGATTACTTTTTTGAACAGTTTGAAACAGTTAAGTTCAAAATTTTAGATTGGTTTTTACAACTCTATTATTTATATATTGATATTATATATATTAGATTGACTCTTTATACATGTAATATGTTTGCAAATTTCCGAATTTCAAAATGCATGTAAAGTCTAACCCTTCTGTATAAAAATTAGGACTCCAATATGCTTAAGAAAATAAGGGTATGTTTAATTGACTGGACTGAGTTGAACTGAACTAAACTGAACTTATTAGAGCTAAACTTAACTAAAATGAATATTTTATAAGAGAAGAAAATTTGGAGCTGAACTGAACTGATTAGAGCTGAGCTGAGCTGAACTGAACTGAAAATAATCATATGAGAACAAGCCCTAAATTTCAGCAAGTCTTTCATCTTTTTAAATACAATATCCGATCCTCTACATTTGCACGATTAAAAATCCTGATATCATTTCTTTTTCGTTGGCACATAAGAAGTATATACATTAGTTAGGATGGAATAACTTACTAGAAGATATTCTTAAATTGTAAATAGTGGATGAAGTTGTTGTTTACAAATTTTAAATTTTAAGGTGGTTGTTAAAAAAATGAAAACATAAAAGGTAAAAAAGCATTTTTATTACATACAATTCACGAGTTAATTAAACTAACTATTTTGATTTGATTGCAGAATGAGTATGGAGACATATATGACTGTAGATTTTTATAAGCAACCTGCTTTTGATCATCCACTATTGGCAAACCACTCGTTCCATCCCGAGGTTCAAGTGAATTCATTCGAATCGGCAAAATATATATATATATATATATATATATATATATATATATATATATATATGGTAAAAGTGGTAAAGGTCAGCCATAAGCAAAAGCTAACGAACACCCTATAGACGTTGAATAAGCTAATTTAAAAAGAGAAATATTATACTACTTTATAAACGTCAATTATACAAATCATCGCGCAATTTTGACATGCATTTTCAAATATTTTAATGGCTTATCAAACGTCTTGGGGGCCTTTGTTAACAAGATCCATAGAATAAATCACAGTGAGTAGAATAAAATAACTTACTAAAATTAAAAATAAATAGAACAAAAAAGAACGAATATATATGGAGTAGTGTTAATCAACGCAGATTGTCTTTGTAGACAATTACATATTTGAATGTAATCTTTATACTTCGTATATACTTTAATTAAGTTGTCAATTAAGGGATTATAATTTATACTTGGTTTGTTTAATGTGTAATGACAAAGGATCCGAAAGATGGAAATTGGTGGCTTACATTTGGGGATGAAAACATTGTACAAGGATTTTGGCCTAAAGAGATATTCACTGGATTGTCAATGTTAGCAACTAAAGTCTCATTTGGTGGAGAAGCTTATGGCCCTGCGGATCAACCTTTACCACCTATGGGAAATGGCTACCTTGGTATCGCAGACCTTGAATATGCTGCTTATTGTCGTTCAATTGTAGTGTTGGATGAAAATTTGAAGGCAGATAATGACCCTCATGAGATTGAAACTTATACAGACGATTCACATTATCGTGTCATTGATTGTGGATGGACTAATAGATTTGGACGCATCATGTTCTATGGTGGTACTATTCCACAATAATCAAAATGGAATAGACTTGAGACAATTATCAAATAGAATATTATAGCAGATTGTTTTGAAGGTCTAATTCAAATTTATCTATATTAACAAGAAACAAAAGGTGAAGTTAATAACAAAATCAAACAGAAAATTATATTGTTTTGAAGATCTAATTCAAATTTTGCAAAAATAGTATTATAAACCCACCAAAAAAAATCACAAACAAAAAGGAAGTAGAAAAAAATTAAACCATATAATCTATCTATAAATATAACTTAAGTAGCAAATGTTGACATCATATGCAACTTTACAAGAAAAAAATTCCGCCTAAATAAATTATGTTGTAATTATATTTTTCTTTGGTTTCAAATTTCAAATTCATTTCACATCCTCTCGATTTATCTATACTCTTTAATTTATTTATTTTCCTTCTATTACCAACTATTTGTATCTAATGCATCTTAATCTTATGATTCATTATATATACACTCTATGTTTCTTATATGAGGTAATTAAGTAATAAGAATACATAAATATATACTCTATATTTCAAAGATATTTTTAATGTCATGCATTGCAAAAATTAAAATAAAATCCAAAAAATGAAAAGGAATTATATAATGAACTTTACAAAAATTAGGACCAAGAGATACAGATGAAAACTATCATTTTATTTTTGATTCACCCCTTGAATACAATCAGTAAATTACAATTCCCTTCTCATGGTAGTTTAATTTTTTAAAAATGTATCTTTTTCCAATTTCTAGTCAAATGATTCAATTGAAGTTGAAAATTTTCAACAACGATCAATTCACTATATAATTTCAATGGGCATTAATCTATTTGTATATAACTCTTCCTCCATCACTCGTCAAATTCTCTTTTGTCCATTAATTTTTCATTAATATGTTTGAATGATTTCAAAATTGGAGAATAAAGTCACATTGATTGGTTGGCTTGAACCACTGCTGAAGAGGAGATGATCCTAATTTGTAAGTTCATTTTTAATTCATAAGTCATAGGAGTGTCCAATTACGTAATTTTATTATATTTGTTTAATTTTCCTATACCAAATTATCGATCCTTAGTGGCTGTGAGATGAGGGTTGTGGGGTGGTGATTTTGCGGTTAAGAACTTATATATAAAAATTGCTACTTTTAAAATATTATTAATCACTTAATCTTCTTAAATATGTAACCGGGAAAATCAAATAAAATTGCATACCCAACTTTTTATAATAATACTTGTATTATTTATTTTGTTAATTAGGGCCCATTTTATATCTTTGCCCCGGGCCACCAAAATCTCAGATACGGGGCTGTTTACACTTCAATTGAAACCAAAAAAAAAAAAAGAACAAGATATGTGTCCTTTACATTTCCGATTTTAAAATAGTAGTGTAGATTGTGGTGCTATCATTTCTATTTAGGTAAGTATATTATTTTACAAGAGAGTGACTCGTGTTTACAGTGGTGGCATCAGGAATGGCCTATATAATTAGCACAAAATTTTAAAAAAGTCGGGTGTACAATAAATTGTATATCCATTATAAAGATAACATAAAATGATTATAATTTACCCCTGAAATGAATAAAAGTTACCCCAATATGCGTAAAAGTAACCCAATTCAAATAAAAATTATCTACGCTTTATTAGTAAAGAATCACATTTTAATTGACTAAAAATCAATTATTAGTGATTGAATGTAATTAAATTACCTCTATAAAACTTTTCTTGTTATCTATTTATATAAAAATTGTATTATGTTTAAAGTTACCCAAAGAAAAGGCAAAAAGTTACCCTAAAATTAGCTAAAAGTTACCCTTATACTGCTCGATGTACACTAATATTAGTGTAAACCGGATGTATACAAAAGTTTTTGTATAATTAGCTATTGCTACATTCACTAGATCGATTATAAAATAGAAATAGTGATTAATCTAGTTACGTTATATTTTTAAGACTTAAGATATGAATTGTTGAAAATATAAAAGTGAAGAATAAAACACTAAAAATAGAGAAAAATTGCCTTACAATAATATACTAGTAATACCTAAATTTAAAGTATGATGAAATTTCAAATGTTTCATTTTTGTGATATCGACAACAAAATAATAATTCAATAATAAATGATGAAAAAATTCCAATGCATAGATTTGATTTTATACATTTACAATTTTTAGATCTATTTCGCAACAATTATATCAACATTTTTTATTATTAGGTTTTAATAATATTCTTACATATATTTATGTGTATCTAATAATTTTTTTTTACATTTTGCTTATGTGTATTTTTTTTAATGTTCTTATTAAAATATTTATTAGGAAAAACGAGTTTATGTAAAGCTTTGGAATAATATTTTTGTTGAGCATACGAAACAGAAAAATCAACTTAACTTTGTTTTTTTAAAAAAATATTCTTATTCATTAGTCAAGTATGCAAAACTTGAATTTGTTAAATTGAAATAAACTATGAAAATATTATCTCATTCTTCGGGTGGTTAAATAAAATCATTTGGATCGATCAAAAGATTTTTTTGTTAATTCTCTTAAAGAAAATTAATTTTTTTAATTATTTTTTAAAATATTCTACTTCTAATATAAAAGATAATAAGAAATTACAAAATAATATACAAAATGAAATACAAAAAAACCGTGCATCGCACGGGCTTATATCTAGTTTACCTTTAAAGTAAGTCAAATCCGAAATTTAAAACTAAGAATATACCTTTAATCACGCTTAATTACGAAAATATTGAACATCCCTAAAGCATAATACTTGATTTGTCTTCCTACCATGTCGAATAAATCGAATCCTTAGTCTCTTGGCTCATTGTATTGTTTTGCTTCTTTACTCTAAGTGAGAAATAGAGTGGAATTAAAAGGATTGTGGGGTTCTCAAACAAAAAAAAAAAAAAAAAAAAAAAAAAAAAAAAAAAGGAAGGGAATGTTTAGTTTTTCTATTTACCGGTATAAGCCAACTCAAACTGTAAAAATGCAATTAAAATTTACAACAGTTAAAATGCCAAATACTTCTATTAATATTAAATCTCAATTCAACCAAACAAAACTTTAATTAAAATAATAATCAAAATTCTATTAACATTTAGATAATCCTATATCAATCACTAAAATTACAAAATACTCCTTATTGATTAACAATAGTTTTTGAATTTGCTTGATTAAAGGAGATTTCTGAGTAATAATAGGATGATTTACGAAAGTATGGTTATTTTAAAACTTATTTACACTTTTTGCGTCGGAATGAAACTTAATTACGAAATTACTGTCCACGTAGGCTCGGATAAGTTTTTATTTTATTTTTTTATTTTTCAAAGTAAAACCGCTACCTCAAGTAGCGGTTTATGTACTAAAACCGCTACTTGAGGTAGCGGTTTGTCATTAGTACTCTAAGTAAGAGACATTTAATCAATCTGTACTCTAAGTAAAGAGACATTTAATCAATCTATGAAGGGTAAAACCACTACCTCAAGTAGCGGTTTTGGACTACAACCGCTACTTAAGGTAGCGGTTTGTCTCTAAAGAAAAAAATTACCCCAAATGTATCTCCAAGCCTACGTGGATTATATTTTTGTAAATAAGTTTCATTCCAATGAAAAACCATAAATAAGTTTCTTAAAAGCTATATTTTTTTAAATCATCCGTAATAATAATATTAATAATAATAATAATAAACTGAGTTTAAGAAGTGACACATGGATAGCCTAAATTTCTCTTAAATTTTCCTGTTTTAAAATATTATATTGACGTGTAAGATTGTCTTATATTATGTATAACACCGATTTTAAACATCTTAACTACGAAGTATCTACCAAATTTTTATTAATATTGATTGTGTTTTTTTTTTTTTTTTTGCTACTATTTCACTTTAAGAGATTATGTACTGAGTTTCATAAACTAACTTTTTTTCTTGTGTTTAGATATAGTAATTGTTTATGTAACTAATTGATTGTATTTCCATAAGATGGTCTTATATAAGTAAGTTTTTTTGTATACATCCATATAGAAAAGAGACTACAACAAAATTAAGAGAACAATTAAACAAAAAGTCTAAAATTTAATCATATTTAATATCACAATCATATTACAGTTTCAAATGATGATAATAATCTCAACTATCCCTGGAATAAACATGATAACAAATCGGGCATTTCCAGACACCGGTCGACAACCACTGTTCAATGCAATGAGAGTGGAAGGCGTGCTTGCATGTTGGGAGAATTCGTAGTAACTCTCCATCTTCAAAATCGGAAATGCATATTGGGCAATCGGTGTTTTCAAATACCTCTTGCCTATCATCCGTTAGATATATATGTGATGGAAATGTCCTATCAAATAATTTACGTGGGAGATAAACTCCCTTGTAATACATTAACCATCGAAGAAAAATAACTATTAAAATTGCAACAACTACAAATATACAAAACAAAATTATTGACTGTAAATCCGCTTGTTCAATTGTATATCCCTCGCAAAGGGGCACCCGGGCAACAAAAATGGTCGCTATAAGCCACCTGAATATATAAATGTAATTGAAATTAGCATAAAGAGTATTATACCCCAAATTTAAGTTTAATTTCATAAGGTTCCTTTTCAATTTATTGTTGTTAAATAAACATATTTTTATTCTATTTTATTCTCTTACATATTAAAATTCAAGCAAATAACCCCTTAATGAAAATTTATACTTAAAATTGATTTGGATGGTCTAGATTAATTACCAACTTACGGATTACAATTCAATGGTTAGACCTTTATTAGTTAAAGTTAATATAGTCGACCGTAGACAAATACAGTCTATATTCCTAGAATAGCTAGAATTTTGATAATGTAAAAATATACTAAGAATCATAAGCCTCGAAAAAGTTAAACAAATTTTCAATAAACAAATTCTAATTAAAATTCCATAACACTTGAATAGTCCAACTAAAAAAAAACCCTCTATTATTTGTAAGTAGTACAGAGTACAAAATAAGATAAAATGATTTTTATCGATTG